CGAAGTTGATGTATTTCCTCAGCGACCAGCACGGATCAGCTCTAGGCATGTCGAAGTGGATATCGTCCTCTTTTGGAAGGCCAAACAAACACATGGCAACAACAATACTACAGCGAGAATAAAAGTTACACCTTCTTTCTTTGCGTGAACATTTAGGCGGTGTTATGCAAATCTTCCCACATCATGACGTAGGTATGTGAGGGCGTGTTAGAACGAGCCGTTTTAGGTAGGCGTGGTTGACTCTTAACTTTTATAAAGAATATCTCTTTGGATTTGAGACTTTAGTCTTTGCAACTTTACAGATCTTCTTTATGCACCAAGAGCTTGTAACACTCCAAAGAGAAAGGGAAAATTGAAATCGCATCATATGACCCCTTTAAGTTGTTTTGGTGACCATTAAATTACATATTGGCAAAAACAAAAAGAAGAAGAATAGGAGAAACAAAATGTCTTCCTTATGTTCCACAGAAAAAATAAAATCAATCAGTTTTGGAATGACATGAGAGTAAGTAAATAGTTACATTATTTTCATGTTTGGGTGAACTATCCCTTTAAATCAGTTAGATTGACTGATTGACTGCAGTTATTGATATCACAGTCTTGCACAATCACTATATTGCAGCTGAATAAAGCATTTGGTGGTCTAGCTATGAAAAAAAACCTATCTTAAATTAAATGTCAGTGTGTTATTGTTGTCTGATGGTGTATTCTTAGCCTGTGAGATGAACAGGATCAGGAGCGTGAGGCCGCATCTAAAATACCATAACACTTCATTACATTTATTTTCATGACCATGTCTCTTATGAGCAATAGCTTGGGTTTGTGATTGTATCTAGAGTCTGCTTTGCTTTCCCTCTGGCGATATTGGTTATTTCCCAGATTGAAACAGCAGTTGATATTACTGATATCCACGCTACCAAAAATATCAGCTTGCTCCTATTTTTATGACATCCAGATGCAGTTTACATTACATGACACATTGATTGCAGCCATACATGATGTGCTTGCTCAGGTATCCTCAATCTGTACACAGTGGCACAGTGGTTATTCTGGGAATTCTATTTCTGCAAATATGTTAAATATATACTAGACATCCAGCCTCATTCATTGTTAATGAAGCTGCAAACAGAAACATTTCCATAAATCAGACTGCTCAAATGACAGATAACAGACAACGGAGGCAACAGAGATATGGCCCCACCTGGGATCACTTAGCAACCAAAAGCATGACATCATCACTTCATGTAAAGAATCGAATACTATGATGTCATCAGGAAATGCATGACCTTGGAGAAAGGAAGTGTGTATGATACTGTAAATACAGAATGTATAAGATACAGGTTTGTTGTTGTTATTTTTATTAGTGCAAATATATAATAAAATATAGCACATTAATACAACATGTTTTGACCATTCACAGTTGAATAAAAATAATTTGATTGTCTAGGGCGCCTGTTGTAATGAAGTACACTAAAGGCTTCTTATAGTGCCTGCTAAAACCTCTTCACGTTGTATATGCTGCCATCTGCTGGGTAACGATCATTAACGAAAAGGTGGTGTATACTGTAAAAATAATTTTTTGGGAATGTTTTACAAGAAAAGTCTATTTCAGTCTTTCTACTTTAAAATATAATATTCAATTTAATGTTTTACTGTCATTTATTATTGCATTTGTGAAATGTAATAGCAAGCTCCTGCACAGAAAAAGTTGGTGGTGAAACAATTGTCACTCAGAAATTGCTAGTACATTTGACAAATAATTACAAAGAGGCAATTAACTCACTCCAATTATTATTATTTTTTTTTTAACTTAAAATCATTATTAACAGTGTAGACCCTTCAGGAAAAGAAGAACTGAGCAAAATGTGTTTGTAAACTTTAAAGTGAGATAATTTTTAAAAAGCACAAAACACATGTATTATTTCACTGTACAGTTGTAGTTACGCATGGTTTACAGTAAATTCAAATAGTTTTATTAGTGTTGTTATGAAATCTATTATTTCTATTAAAATGTATCTATGTTGCAATAACTATAAGTGAACTCAGTTTAATACAGTGCAAGAAAAAATAATGTAAAAACGATGCCTGCTAGAAGCATAAAACAGCTGATTCTGAATGCTTGCTGTATAGAGGACATCATTTTGGCATCATGAGCCTTTGTTTAAAATGCTCTGTACTGTAACAGAAACTTGTTTCATAAGTGAATATATTGTTTCCTAAAACACTTGTCACATGGCATTTACAACTCAGGTGATTGGCTCAAAACAATTGTGTCTTGAACTGAGTGACCATAAACAGACATGTGCCAGCTGAGCAACTGCCCTTGAATGCTAACAGATAGCTTTCTCCAGGTATTATACACCTCCTGTCTTTAAAAAATGTCTTATTCAGAGAAAGACCTAGAGCAAACGTCAAAACCAACTAATTGCAACAGACAACATGTTCCAGACTTTATTATTGCTCATGTCTGCTGTGCGTATCATGGCAGCACATGACTAGGCAAACAGTAAGCACCCCTCAGTCACCCTTATTATCCTTTCTTTCCCCGTGTAATGAGCCTTAGCCTGATTACCTGATGGAACAAGTCTGTGCTATTGAATATTCCACACTAAGACACTTAGACTGCTCCCTGCAGGAAAATAATGACTCACAGATCGACCAGGTTAAACATTCTCCAGCCTCTGTCAATTCTAACGGCTGCAAACAGACGCTGAATCGTGAGCTGAAAAACTGCTGTGTTACGGGAAAGCGTGCTGAGCACACATGCTACAAGCTTAAGATCTTATGAGGTGTGAATATATGTAGTAGTGTATAAAAATATCTAGTATGTAGACAACTGATAATTTACAGATTTCAAATCACTTTCAGGTCCATCATGACGTCCTGACATTCAACTTAATGATTACTAAATCAAACCAACTTTGAGGACAGAACTGCTTGCTCTGCACTTTATTGTATGTGATGAGGAGAAATATTTTATGCTCGAGACATGAGAAACCAACAACGGCCTGGTCGGCTGAGAAAAACAACTGGAGTTGATGACAGACAAATCATAAAAACTGTGAAAAGAACCCTAAAATACATGTCTGCAAAATCACCAACAACATCCAGAAAGCAGGGGTGATGCTCTGAAAATCTACTGTCTGCAGGAAACTTTGACATGGAGAAATACAGAGGCTACACAGCAAGATGCAAACCTCTGACCAGCACCAAAAATAAAAAGGCAAGATCAAAAAAGAAGGGGAGCCAGTAGAGTTTTGAAACAGAGTTTTATGGACAGATGAGACAAAGATTAATCTTTATCTAAGTGATCAGAAACCAAAAGTGTGGAGAGAAAAAGAAAACTGCAAATGATCCTAACCTGATAGCACACATACATCTCGGAGACGTCTATTTGATGTCTGCATTTACATCTGCAAGACATATTTTTTAGAGAGTTTGCTCATCTGCAATACGTCTATAGGACGTTTCCTTTTAGATGTCAAATAGACGTCTATTAGATGTCTTTAAGATGTCTATGATATAGAATGTATGTAAAACTGACATCTGAAAGACGTCTGTCAGACGTTTGTAGACAGCAGATGTTTTCCAGATCAAGAGACCTTTAACAGACATATTGCAGACGTACGTGTGCTATCTGGGAAGCGTACAACCTTATCTGTAAAGCATGGTGGAGGTGGTGTCATGGCATAGGCATACATAGCTGTCTCTGGAACAGGCCTTCTCAACTTTATTGATGACTTAATGTATGACGACAGCTGCAGAATGAATTTGGAAGGGTGCAAAGCCAGCTTAGCTACCAATGTTCAAGAAAATGCCACCAGACTTATCAGAAAGCACTTTATATTGCATCTGGACAATGACCCAAAACACACTGCAAGTTCAGTCAATGAGTTTATCAGGGCAAAGAAATGGAAAGTCTTAGATTGCCCAAGACACTCTCCAGATTTAAATCATATTGAACATGAATTTCATCAGCTAAAGAGGAGACTAAAGGCAGAAACTCCCCAAAACAAACAACAGCTGAAAATGGCTGTATTAAAGTCAAAGGACGAGGCCAAGAGTCTGGTGATGTCTATGGATCACACTCACTGCTGTGATTGCATGCAAGGGATTCACAACTAAATATTAGCTTTTAAACTTTTACATTATGATCAACGGTCCCAATAATTATGCTCACATCAGATAGGGAGACAAAACCCTAAAAGTGCTGTCCTTTTTATTTGGTAAAAGGTGTAAATGTTGAAGCACCCAATAATAAAATCTGACATTCTATACTTTTGTCTGAGATTCATCTTTTAAACATATTTAAAGATGTCTTGACTACACAGCAAACAACGCGATTTTGTCTGTCTTTATGTGGTTTAATTGAAGGTCTATGTCTCCATGTAATGGTGCTGCAGAAATTGTTGCTTATGGCTATATGATGGAAATTAACCTATTTCAACCCAAAGATACTTATCACTTATTAGAGTGATTAATGTTGAGTACCAACCGATCGCAAAGCTGCAAACTAAATGGTAGTTATTGTTGATCCATTTATCGCCATATGAGGGCGCCAGAGAGGTTCTGTACGCGTTTTTAAAATAAATCATGTCTGATTAAAAGGAATTCATGGATATTATGTGAGAATAATATTATTGTGCTGAAAGTTTTATTTTATTTTTAAGTGTTCATGGTCACTTGGGATCTCACTGTGTGCTATAGGCCTATGCAAGGTGAAGTATTGTGTAGATGATGAATACAAACATGAAGAATGTCTCAAGCCACTCCTTGCTACCTCTTTTCCATTTATTGATTTTTTGCAAGCAGCAGGACTGAAAGCTCTTGTGGAGAAAGAACAAAGAAAGAATCAAAATAATTGTAACTTTATCTGACTGCAGTTCTTTTTTTCAGAAGTAGCAAGCATTTTAATGCACAAATAATGTCAGTAACAAAGACACATGGATTATTAAAATAATTTTATTTTGTACATATTAAACATAAAAACTAAATACAATATAAAATATTTATGAAACCATGCCAGCCACCAAACACCCAAAAGAAAATCCTTGCCGTTTCAGCTGGATGTAGTCCAGGAGTCGAGTCTTACTACAGCTCTGACCTGTTAAGAGATCTTCCGTAACACTCTTACAGTCATGCCAGAGATTCCATTAGGAATTACATTAATAATAGGAACTGTTTTTAAAGTGTGAGCAGTGTAAACCATCAGTCATTCACTCTCCTATTACTGTAAGAGCATTTATAAGGCTTCACTGACAGCACAGGAACATTCACTACAGTGACCACAGCGCAGTGTTGATAAAAGAGTCTGTAAAAACTTACTTCATGGACTCACAACAGTGAGGTAAACAGAAAAGCTATCTACTTACATTACTGAGCCATCTTCATCCATTCATGCAACTTTCAGTGATAATGGAGTGCCATCCTGCCACCACCAGGTCTGTGTTCCTGGAAGCACCATGAGCCTTACTACGAACAGCTTAAATAACACCACACATGCCCTATAAAAAAAGTTAAGAGCCTCTGATGGCCACTAACAGGTTAAATGTCAGGATACTGGATTACAGACCCTTTCCTATAGCGGTGAGAAAGCAGACGACAGCAAGCTTATCAGACCCCATCAGCTTGGACACTTTGAAAGCACAAATATCTCAGCCACCTGCAACAAGGATCTGTTTGCACAAGCCTGATCAAGGTGGATGAGAAGGGATCTAAACATGTAGAGCCTTGGATTCAAAGAGCTCAATGTCAAAGTCAAACATGACTTGAGGTCACTGGCCAAAACCTTTAAGCAGCAGACAGAGAGTGACATGACTGAACAAACCCCACACCCTTATAATTCACGTTTCAACCTCAGAGGTGATTCTAGAGCAGTATTGAAATATAGCTGATCACAATTGGTGGTCCAGACTACTTAAAAGAGGCCTGCACTGTCCTGCCTCTCAGTGGCTGTGGTGGTCGGAAGTTGTTCTCCATGCGCTTTCGGTCGTCTTCTTCCTCTCCGTTAAACAGCAGTGTCCGGAACTTTCCCATCTAAGTCCAAAAAGCAAGAAAAACAGCATGTGAGACAGAACCTGGCAAAGTTACAAGCTGCACTGCAAAAGAAATCAACCTTGATAACAAGTCTTATGTAACCGGCTTGGTTCTCCATGCTGTGAATCTCCTGAGCTTTTGCTACTTATAGCTCATCAATCATTTTAATAAGCTGTACAAGATCAAAGTCTTGTGGCCTCATGCCAGACACACTAGGCCGCTGTCACGACTATGCCGCCAACATGCCAAACCTCTCATGCTTACTTTAATTCAATGTCCTTGTACAAAGTCTGAGGGACTAGACAAGAGCCAGAGACCAAATCCACAGTCCAGTCTTTTAGATGGACATAGACATATGGATCTGAAATGCAAATCTAGCAATATGACACTTCAAAGCAAAGGATATGTACTACCATTGGTGGTCCAGACTACTTAAAAGAGGCCTGCACTGTCCTGCCTCTCAGTGGCTGTGGTGGTCGGAAGTTGTTCTCCATGCGCTTTCGGTCGTCTTCTTCCTCTCCGTTAAACAGCAGTGTCCGGAACTTTCCCATCTAAGTCCAAAAAGCAAGAAAAACAGCATGTGAGACAGAACCTGGCAAAGTTACAAGCTGCACTGCAAAAGAAATCAACCTTGATACCAAGTCTTATGTAACCGGCTTGGTTCTCCATGCTGTGAATCTCCTGAGCTTTTGCTACTTATAGCTCATCAATCATTTTAATAAGCTGTACAAGATCAAAGTCCTGTACAGGATGCAAAGGATATGTACTACCATTCAAAAGTTTGTCATCAGTAAGGATTTTTAAAACTTACAAAAAAAAAGTCTCTTATGCTCACAAAATGTAAAGTAATATCACATTTTATTTAAAGTTTATATATATATATATATAAACATACTTTACATTTTAAAATAAATTAAATTATAGTTATTTACTTCAAAGTTGAATTTTCAGTAGCCATTACTTTAGTCTTGAGTGTCACATGATCCTTGATCTAATATGTTGATTTGGTGCTCTTCCTTATTATCAGTGTTGGAAACATTTGTGCTGCTTGAAACTGTGATATATATCTGATATGGTAAATGGAAAAGAACAGCATTTATTTGAAATAAAAATCTTGTTACATTATAAATGTCTTTGCTGTCCTCTTTATACAGTTTACTGTAACTTTGCTGATTAAAAGCTGATAAATAATTCCTGTAAGTGTAGTGCATGCAGCACAAATCTGGGGATAAAATTACCTCTATAGTGTTTTGAATCCACAGTAGGATTTCAGTTGTGTTCAATGTTGTCAAAATGTGCACATTCTGTTTGACTGAAACTAACACTGAGCTGAACCCGTCATTATAAAAGGATTCTTTCATTATAAAAAGAGTTCTGCTTACTCAATCAGACACTTTTAAACATAGATAAATCCCCAGATAACAGCACACACTGGTATTGTGTACATATTTATGTGTGTTATATGTGTGTGTGCGTGCGAGTGAGTGTGTGTGTCTGAAATTTTTGACATTGTGGGGACCGGCCTGCAGTCTTTATGAGATAAAAAAAAATATATTAAAAGTAGTAAATTACGTTTATCTGTAAGTGTAACAATGCAAACAGGTTTTCTGTAAGGGGTAGGTTTAGGTTTTAGGGTTGGGTTAGGGCAGGGGTAGGCAAGTTCGGTCCTAGAGAGCAGCAGTCCTGCAGAGTTCAGCTCCAACCCTAATCAAACACACCTGAACAAGCCAATCAATGTCTTCAGGATTACTAAGGCTATAGGCAGGTGAGTTTTGTTTTCAGGGTTGGAGCTGAACTCTGCAGAACTGCGGCTCTCTAGGACCGAACTTGCCTACCCCTGGGTTAGGGGATAGAGAATATCGTTTAGTCAGTATAAAAGTAATAGAAGTCTATAGAAAGTCCCCGCAATTCACAGAAACAAACGTATGTGTACACACACACAAATCATTTATTTATGCAAAATCAGTTAAAGAAACCAGACATGCAATCATGTCAGCAGATGAGATCATTTCTGACCAGATTCACTGTCACCACCAGCATACTGGGATACTGTGGACTATCCCTAATTTACATCAATACCAATGACTTTGATTCAGCGGGAGTGCTTCCCACATCCATCTCCCTCCACAACCATTCATTTTCATAAACCGACATCTGTCAATAACCAGATGATGGTCATGACAAACACTAGCAATTCAGTTAATAAATAAGGTTAATAAAGTGAAAGAAAACCAAAAACCTGCAACTCACCTGCTTCTCAGACACATAAATAGGTTCTTTCAGCAAAATCCATGTGACGCTCTCATACAGTGGAGGAGTTGTGAGAGAGCCTGGGTACGTCCAGTACTCCAGACTGTTCGGCAGGAGGCACTTCGGGTTAAAGCCCTTAAAATCAGTAACACTTCCCTACAAGAAAAAAAAAACAAGCATAAAGTTATTGAACTGTAATGCAGAGCTTTAGGAAATAAAGATGCTCTGAACATGGCTGTAACCGCAATACACAGAAGAAGACACATGCCACAATATTTTGATTAGTGACTGACATATGTTTTTTTCAAAGTCCAATTTTTAATATATTAGTTTTTTACACTACTGGATATTTGGTGAGGGTGAGACATCAATTCAACTAAAATGTGAAGCGAATAAGACAATTAGTCAAATTAAAGAATGTGACGCACAAATATGGTTAAAATAATGCTGAGGAAACAGATAATTACTCTCAATACAAAAGTGTGAAAAAAAAAAAAACACTTGAGCGGTGCTAATTTGAATCCTCAGACCCTGATTAACATATTTCAAGACAAATATTTCCAAATGAAATCACATGCAAAGAGGCATCTGGGTGTTTCCAAATTAAATCAGATGCAAAAAGGAGGACAAAAGTGCCGCATCTAGTCAGTATAAAAGTAATAGAAGTCTATAGAAAGTCCCCGCAATTCACAGAAACAAACGTATGTGTACACACACACAAATCATTTATTTATGCAAAATCAGTTAAAGAAACCAGACATGCAATCATGTCAGCAGATGAGATCATTTCTGACCAGATTCACTGTCACCACCAGCATACTGGGATACTGTGGACTATCCCTAATTTACATCAATACCAATGACTTTGATTCAGCGGGAGTGCTTCCCACATCCATCTCCCTCCACAACCATTCATTTTCATAAACCGACATCTGTCAATAACCAGATGATGGTCATGACAAACACTAGCAATTCAGTTAATAAATAAGGTTAATAAAGTGAAAGAAAACCAAAAACCTGCAACTCACCTGCTTCTCAGACACATAAATAGGTTCTTTCAGCAAAATCCATGTGACGCTCTCATACAGTGGAGGAGTTGTGAGAGAGCCTGGGTACGTCCAGTACTCCAGACTGTTCGGCAGGAGGCACTTCGGGTTAAAGCCCTTAAAATCAGTAACACTTCCCTACAAGAAAAAAAAAACAAGCATAAAGTTATTGAACTGTAATGCAGAGCTTTAGGAAATAAAGATGCTCTGAACATGGCTGTAACCGCAATACACAGAAGAAGACACATGCCACAATATTTTGATTAGTGACTGACATATGTTTTTTTCAAAGTCCAATTTTTAATATATTAGTTTTTTACACTACTGGATATTTGGTGAGGGTGAGACATCAATTCAACTAAAATGTGAAGCGAATAAGACAATTAGTCAAATTAAAGAATGTGACGCACAAATATGGTTAAAATAATGCTGAGGAAACAGATAATTACTCTCAATACAAAAGTGTGAAAAAAAAAAAAACACTTGAGCGGTGCTAATTTGAATCCTCAGACCCTGATTAACATATTTCAAGACAAATATTTCCAAATGAAATCACATGCAAAGAGGCATCTGGGTGTTTCCAAATTAAATCAGATGCAAAAAGGAGGACAAAAGTGCCGCATCTGTTTGGCAAGCCACCTGAAGACCTCCATTAATTTAATATATTCATTCATGCATTCTCTCAAAAATAGCGTAAAGAAATTCATAGTTTCCCCATGTTTCATAAATACACATACCTTGAATTTAACCATATACAAGGCATCTGTTATCTGATGAAGAGCTCGGTGCTCATCACCTATCTGAAACAAAAAATAAAAACAACATTATTAGAATAGGTATAATATGCACTTTACTGTGGATATTTATATCTTTCTGTACTTGAGTTTTCTAATATTAAAAAGTATTCTTTTACGGATCGGTTTAATTAAATAAATATCATTTTTATTTTATTTTCCTCATAAATTGAATGTGACTGATTCTAATACAAATCACATGCTTTTCAACTAATGCTACATTATTTTGTTTTTGGTCTTAATAGGAATAGTTTGCCAAAAAAAAATTAACAGAAAAACTACAGACCCTGATTAACATATTTCAAGACAAATATTTCCAAATGAAATCACATGCAAAGAGGCATCTGGGTGTTTCCAAATTAAATCAGATGCAAAAAGGAGGACAAAAGTGCCGCATCTGTTTGGCAAGCCACCTGAAGACCTCCATTAATTTAATATATTCATTCATGCATTCTCTCAAAAATAGCGTAAAGAAATTCATAGTTTCCCCATGTTTCATAAATACACATACCTTGAATTTAACCATATACAAGGCATCTGTTATCTGATGAAGAGCTCGGTGCTCATCACCTATCTGAAACAAAAAATAAAAACAACATTATTAGAATAGGTATAATATGCACTTTACTGTGGATATTTATATCTTTCTGTACTTGAGTTTTCTAATATTAAAAAGTATTCTTTTACGGATCGGTTTAATTAAATAAATATCATTTTTATTTTATTTTCCTCATAAATTGAATGTGACTGATTCTAATACAAATCACATGCTCTTCAACTAATGCTACATTATTTTGTTTTTGGTCTTAATAGGAATAGTTTGCCAAAAAAAATTAACAGAAAAACTACATTTGTAAAATCTACACATCCTCAAGTCATTCAAGATCAGTTTGTTTCTTCATCAGAACAGATTTGGAGAAATTTAGCATTACATCACTTGCTCAGCATTGGAAAAACATCAAAATATTCCACAATTTGTATCTTTTAAAATACAGCATGCTTCAAAAGACATTAACTGATGGACTGGATTACTTTTGGATTATTGTGATGTTTTAAATCAGATGTTTGGACTCTGACGGCACCCATTCACTGCTGAGGATCCATTGGCAAGCAACTGATGTAATGCTAAATTTCTCCAAATCTGTTCCGATGAAGAAACAATGCACATCTTGGATGGCCTGAAGGGGAGTATTTTATATATTTTTTTGATGAGCTATTCCTTTAAATGAGTGCTGATTCACACTAAGACTAACTTCCAGAAATATGCCAAGGACAGCCAGGCCATCAGGTGCTGCTGCCGCCTCACCAAAGGACTTGTACTTTATAGCATTCCAATGAACCAAATGAAGCTGGAGAGAGACAGTTCAAGCCAAAAGATTGTAACAAAGACAGTGTAAACAAATATAATATACAGTATAGACTGCACAGAGCAGACACAGTCCCTGTTCTGCCCGCTCACCTCAGAAGCATAGGTTTTCCCACCAACCGTATGCTCAGAGCCACGGCATCCCTTGCCTCCCCAGTGGAAGTGAAACTGTTTAAGTCTGTACATGTTTTCCAGAGGACCTCCCCGGATCACTGTCAAAAGGAAAGAGCAGTTTAAGGGGCCATTCACATTGAATGTTTTTTTTTTATGCAAAAAAACAGGGCAGGAATGAAAATCAAATGCAATGTATAGAGACACAAGCCTCTTTTAACTTGAGTGGCATGTTTTAGAACACTATGCCATGCATGAGAAACTGCAAAAGATGCGAGACGTGAGCGCAACAGTCAAACACATCAGTCTAGAAAAAACAATGGAAAAGCGGTGCAAAGGAATGCAAAAACATGTTCTGTGTGAACACCCCCTGGCTTCCATGTAGGGCTGTGCAATATATTGAAATTATTGAAATATCTGTACACAACCACCCTGTGGCAATAATCCATCCACTCTGTTCATTTTAACCATAAATCAGAAACAGTCTCAAAATAAGCCGTTCAGAGCATTTGACAGCAGTGTTCAAGTAAGAAATGTATTGTATTGAATTTGTATTTGAAAGTTTTCCAAATCAAGAACAGCGAGTAATTTTCTGTTTTTCTTTTATTTGATTCATATTAGCAGCAGCCGCAGATACTGTATAATGCTGCTGTCACTTTAATACACACATCTAATATACACATGGTTTCTTTCCCAGCTTTGATGTTCACAGACATAACCGACTTTGTGAACTGAACTTTGTGTTTTTGACATAACCTTGTGTGTATTTGAGAGTGTAAGCGCAATAAGATGTGAAAGCGAACTTAGTTTAGTACGCTTTCTGTGTGTGTGCGCGCTCAGAAAACCATACATCAGAAGTTTAAACTTATGGCTTTAAAGCACATGCAAATGATAAACTTTCATGATGACGAAGACTGCAATGTGACTGCGATTGATCTTTGATAAAAACTAAACAGATGTTTTGTTTGTTGTTGCCTGAGTGACTGAGGCACACGCAGGGAGCATCGGCTCATTTGCATTAGCTATAGAAGTTCACAGAACTGACTCCGCAACAGCTGAGTAAAACTGTTTCATCTGAGCATGTGGCACATTATCGTATCGAATATCGCATTTTTCTTCAATATTGCACAGCCCTACTTCCATGTAACGTGGATATCACCTTTTATTAAAGACTCACTCAAAATGCAATGAAGGGTGAAGAAAATGAGTATCTGAAAAAGGTGCTTGGTGTTTTGCACACCCAATACGTTTAACCACTATAATTCAGTTGATTGAGTCAGAGCACACAGTACAAAAACAAAAAATCTGTCTTATAGCCAAGAGTCTGTCTCCAACCTCTCCTTACTCTATACACCTCATTTTCTTGCTTCTTACCTAGATCTCTTTTTCACAGACAGGGATGTTTCATAAGGGAAACTTTGAAAACTCTTAATTTCACAATGACAACTTCAAAGCTTCTCGGATCTTTAAAGGGAACATATTAGACAAAATTCAATTTTATGTTGTTTTTGAACAATGTGTCTGCAGCGTGTGTACACAACCACCCTGTGGCAATAATCCATCCACTCTGTTCATTTTAACCATAAATCAGAAACAGTCTCAAAATAAGCCGTTCAGAGCATTTGACAGCAGTGTTCAAGTAAGAAATGTATTGTATTGAATTTGTATTTGAAAGTTTTCCAAATCAAGAACAGCGAGTAATTTTCTGTTTTTCTTTTATTTGATTCATATTAGCAGCAGCCGCAGATACTGTATAATGCTGCTGTCACTTTAATACACACATCTAATATACACATGGTTTCTTTCCCAGCTTTGATGTTCACAGACATAACCGACTTTGTGAACTGAACTTTGTGTTTTTGACATAACCTTGTGTGTATTTGAGAGTGTAAGCGCAATAAGATGTGAAAGCGAACTTAGTTTAGTACGCTTTCTGTGTGTGTGCGCGCTCAGAAAACCATACATCAGAAGTTTAAACTTATGGCTTTAAAGCACATGCAAATGATAAACTTTCATGATGACGAAGACTGCAATGTGACCACGATTGATCTTTGATAAAAACTAAACAGATGTTTTGTTTGTTGTTGCCTGAGTGACTGAGGCACACGCAGGGAGCATCGGCTCATTTGCATTAGCTCATTAAAGATATAGGAAAACAGCATGTTTTTGCTTCCACTCAAAAATGCCATTTACAGCATGGAATGATAAATGATGTGTGGGGTATATTGAGCTGAAACTTTGGTTTGAGGTTGAAACAGACACATTCTGGGGACACCTGAGACTTATTACATCTTACATAATAGGTTTCTCTGTAAGAGGGCTCAGATAATAATATAAAAATAGTACTAAAACAACACCTAGCCATACTGTCACTCACAGCAGAAAGAAAGAATGGGGGAAAAAAACAGCTTAATGTGCACAAATGACCCTGTCATTTTAGTTCTCTTCTTACCACTTGAGCTCTGGAATGTAATGACTGTTAAATGAAACTGCTCACATCAAAAATAGTAACTCTGTTCATTCTGCAGTCATTAAAAGGGAAGAGAATTTGTGGTTTTGTATTAATATTTTGTCATTTTAGTCAAATTAGAACCTTAGTTTTTAAATGTAATTATTCTAATTTTTACGTTTTTAATCTAATATTTATATTTATCTAATTTCAGCTTCAATTACTGAAAACTATTTTTTACATACAACAATTTCACAGTGGCTGTGCACAACATGAGAGCTGTGAGAAGCAGAAACTAGTTGTGCGCAAAAACTCAAATATGAAGAAAGAGAACTAAATGCTGCCTGCTCAAAGCGGTGTTCTTCCCTGAACATCTAGAGACCAATCAACAAACCATGACAGTATCATTTTGAAGCAGCATTAATGTTATATCACTGATACCAACCTGATCTCTCATCTGAGTCAATGAACTCCACTACCACAGAATGGCCATTGTTTGATATGCTGACAGAGGTGCAGTTGTTGTAAGACAGCGAGATAGGAGACAGTTTGGCATCAAATACAGCATCTGCAGGGACTATATCAATAGGTGACTGGCGGTTACCCTCAGCAATGGGATAGACTTTGTACCATGCTGATGGACCTAGAAAAACAATATTAACCAACCAGACATCAATGAATGTAATAACAGTGAATCTTTTTCAAGTTACCATAACGTACTGTATTGTAACTTACTGTATTTAATGTAGTTATCTACATTACATTAGATATTGCTGTGTGTGTGTGTGTGTGTGTGTGTGTGTGTGTTGAGAGCCTAAAAAGTAGCTTGAAACTACTTTGAAACTTTTTCAGTTTGATAAGGTCATTTTTTTTATTTGTTTGTGAAGAGAAATGTGCATGTAAAATAAAATGAAATGCATGTTTACCCCTTGAAATGATGATGCCATTATGACAATGTTTGAATTTATGGAATTTGTAACTTACTGTATACTGTAAAAGGATGTAAATGTATAGCATGGGAACACAACTTTATGGTTTATTAAAAAAAAAATACATATTTACAGCAAGGAAGTTAAAAACAGCTTTGGAGGCAAGCCAAAAACCAGGCTTCTTCATAACAGGAGGGGGTGGGGGGTGGGTGATGGAGAAAAGGAAAAAAGAGACAGGGGTTTTTTGGGGGGGGTTGATGCATTTAAACATATTAACAGTAAAATCAAGTGTCAGCTATTCACTGTTAAACATTTTTTATGCATTTGAGTTAGTTGAGAGCGAGTGAGACCTAACAACATTTTTATGTATTCTGTTTGTCTCAGTGAACTGTAGCAGGATCCCAGTCTTGAAATCACATACAGCCTGGTTACGTTGCTTAAGCAGCAACTATCCCTTTAAAAGATAACTGGGCTAATCTCGCATTAACAGTGGACCGGGCAACCAAGTATGCTACACTAAATCTAACGACAGATGACTGGACATATAATGAATGATTGGACAAGCACAAAAACTGACCCACTGCAGGCTGGCTATATTCTAGTGTTACTGTTTAACTGGGGGATTCAAAATTGTCCATTAATAATAATAATATTAACTGTAGTGATAATGAAGCTTGTTACTAATTTGGCTGGAACACTCATCAAGCGGATCTTGATAATCAGATTTCTTGATTTGGTGTGAAATTGTGCATTGCATGATATCTGGATGGCATGTTCATGTCAAAACTCTGGCTAGTCCGTTCACACCAGCATCACTGTGCCCTCCTTAGCTATTTGGAAGGGCACTTAAGGGAGCACATTAGCCTACCATCGTTGTTTTAGACATTTACCACTGACACTTCATTCTGGGTCTGAAAGATACCTTGATAACATTCAGAATGCAGAATAATACTTAGCTATTAAAACTTTTGCTTCAAATAGCCTAGTTATAATTAAATTTATTTCACCTTAGTGTAGGCTATTTGGTAAAAACAAGCAAACATGACAGTATAGCCCAGGGACCCTCAAATCTGGCCCACGAGATGCACTTTCCTGCAGAGTTTAGCTCTAACCCTAATCAAACACACATGAGCATGCTAATCAATGTCTTCAGGATCATTAGAAAATCACAGGTAGGTGAGTCCTCCAGGGCAAGATTTGAGGAACCCTGGTATAACCTGTATGAAGAATATTTCCTGTTGGGTTTAAATAACCACTGCAGGATCAGCACTAACTGATGTGTCAAACAGATTAAAATTAATATTTTACTATTATAAATTATTATAATATAACTAAATTATAGGCTAATAATAAATAAGAATTAAATGTGTTGTTTATAAAGGTTAAGATTTAGGTTTACGTAAATCAAAAGCAATTGCCCTAACAGACAATTACCTCACAAATTACCTCTACCTGTGAATCATTAACGTGAGAGCCACATTGTCTGAATAAAACCTCACAGCTACATGATCATTACGTGGTTCAGGGTGCATGAATGCCTGCCCATTCTCATTTCTGACCACTGTCCGAGAACCTGTGGCACTAAAAATAAAAAAACTAAGGTGCCTGTACAATGTGGGGCACATCATCCTGGGAAAATAGGTTAAAATAACAAATAAAAAGTGTGTATAATTATAATACTTCTGTTTGTCCATTCGTCCATTCTTTGCTTTTTTGCTGGGTTGTGGGAAGGCTGGACCCCAGACTGATGATTACATCAAGATATTTTTTCCACACTCAAATAACAGATTCTAGAGAAAGAGATGAGGACATATGTTAAAATCGTAATGTGAAAACAGCTGTGACAGCAATAAAAAATGTAACGCCAGCAAAAAGTGCACTATGATGAGACATTTACACTTTGCTCTAACAGCATGCTTGTGTTATACTTCAAAACAATGACTTGAATATGATGCAATAAAAATAATGTGTTTGAGTCAGAGCTGCTGTCTGGGAGGCTTTCCTCAACTCTATAACTGTAATTTACAAAATTAATTACACCAAAAAAGCTAGGCAGCTTTTAGTTTCAGAACCAATGAAAAGTTCACTGCATATGCCACGTTAGAGATAGCCTACAGTTGTAGAGCTGTCAAAACAAGAATATCGATGCAATGCAACAAGAAATATTATAAATAGGCTACACTCTTATAAGGTTCTTCGCAGCGATGCCATAGAAGAACCATTTTTGGTTCCACAAAGAACCATTCAGTCAAAGGTTCTTTAAAGAACCATCTCTTTCTTACCTTTTTATAATCTGAAGAACCTTCTTTCGCCACAAAGAACTTTTTGTGAAACAGAAATTTTCTGTTAAACTACAGAAATCTTCACTTAAAGGTTCTTAATGGAACCATTTAGACAAAAAAGGTTCTTCTATGGCATTGTGAAGCACCTTTATTTTTTAGAGTGTCGGAGAAAACAGAACAGTCACTGGGGTTGGAGATGTTGTAGCCTACTGTATGTACGGTTGCCATATGTTTAAGTGTAATGATTTATTTATGATATGATAGCACTGTACATTTGATGTATTTGGCAAAAGCTTTTATCCAGTGTGACTTGCATTGCATTGAAGGTAAACAATTAGTTTGTGCATTTACTGGGGACTATACCCTGATAGCACACGTACATCTTGGAGACATCTATCTGACGTCTGCATAAACATCTGCAAGATGTATTTTTTTAAGATTTTGCTCATCTGCAATACGTCTATAGGACGTTTCATATCAGATGTCACACAGATGTTTAGAAAATGTCTTTAAGATGTTTATAAAACTGACATCTTAAAGACATTTATCAGATGTTTGTATACAGCAGATGCTTTCCAGATGAAAAAAAAAAAAAGAAAAAAAAGTGAAGTGACATGTGGCCAAGTATGGTGACCCATACTCGGAATTAGTGCTCTGCATTTAACCCATCCTAAGTGCACACACACACAGCAGTGAACACACACCCGGAGCAGTGGGCAGCCATTTATGCTGCGGTGCCCAGTTGGGGGTTCGGTGCCTTGCACCAAGGGCACCTCAGTCGTGGTATTGAAGGTGGGAGAGAGCACTCACTCCCCCCACCTACAGTCCCTGCCAGTATGAGACTCGAACCCACAACCTTTGGGTTATGAGTCCAACTCTCTAACCATTAGGCCACGACTTCCCAATCTTTAACAGACATCTTGCAGACGTACGTGTGCTATCTGGGTAGTGAGACGCTCAAGAGAGAGAGAGAGAAGAAAAAAAACCACTGACAACTGAATATTGCTGTTTTAAAAAATATATAATTAAGAAATATTGCTGTCTTGAAGGCTACTGAGGAGGTAAACGTCCTGCTGTCATGATAAAGTGAAGTTAGTTCATTTGAGGACTTGAAGTGAAGAAAAGATACACAGGGTGAGACTGTTAATTGTTTTTCTTTCTCTCTGTATTTGTGGTTCTCAGGGTGAAAAAGTTCCTCGACTGATGGAAGATGACAGCTCCTCAGCAAGAGGTGCAGTTTAGCAAAGATAAACCAGACTGTGGTTTATTTTTGTTGTTTTGTGCGATTTTGTGGAAAGACGTGGTGTGATTGACCTTAATGTCAGCATTAGAGTGAATGTGTGCAAACTGACCCACATTTTGACAGAGATAACTTGAATGAACGTTTAGAATGTATTGTAAAACAAATGTAATCCCCATTTTGTAACCCACTGATACTTTGAATAAACGTCTGCTAGCCTAATTAACAAATCAAATTATTGTGAAGAAGGGGGAAAAAACTTACAAGTCCCCAAAATGGACAAATATTAAAAGAGCTAAGGCATCATTCAAGCGGCACAATGGCTCCAACTCTTGGCCAAACGGAAGAATAACAAGTCTGTCTGTATCGAATCTGCTAATGTCAATCTCCAAATAGTGAAACAGCAGCGTGCCGGTAGGATCGAGCAGTCACAGACAGAGACAGAGGACCATGACAGACCATAAAACGAGCAAAGAGCAGAAGTATGATCGGCAGCTCAGGTACATATCGGTCCGGTTTAAAAAAACAAACAAACAGAATAATGCAGTATGCAGGCACTGCCATTCTCTTTCAGCATTAGTTTTAAGCTTTTAAGCAAGAGCTTTAATCATTCCAGAGTTACTTTAGATTGATCAATACTCTGCAGCAACATAATCAGTCTAATTTCCATATATAGCCTATTAACAACCTTACTGATCAGAAACCACTGGATGTATTAATCTGCTTGACTTGCCTCACTGTCTTTGATTATGTTATTATAGCTATACTTATACGCTGGTCATTTATTGGTTGTTATATGTTTGTATCAGGTTGTGGGGAGATCATGGACAGGAAGCACTTGAAAATGCCCATGTGTGTCTCATCAACGCCACTGCAACCGGCACTGAAATCCTCAAAAACCTTGTGCTGCCAGGTATCAGTATGTCTCCCTGTGCACCTCAAATCATAACACTGAGACATGGATTCATATAGATGATTGTGTCAACATTATTCTTACTCTGCTTTATAGGAATTGGAGCCTTTACCATAGTTGATGGGCACAAAGTGTCAGGGGAGGGTGTTGGAAACAAGTAAAGTCACTGGCCTGCCAATCATTGTCTTGTTTTCGTAAACAATCTTAAAGAGATTTTTGGTTATAGTGTGATGTATGGATAAATTAATCAGACTGCACCGTATTGAAAATGCGTCTGATTCTGGTCATGCTTTGATCTGTTCTGCAGCTTTTTTCTCACCAGCAGCAGTATTGGGAAGGTAAGCACAGAATTGTGTGTCCATAACAACTCTGTCCAAACTTAAAGTGACGTGTATGTTGAATGATGTTGTGCTTATTTTGCAGAACAGGGCTCAGGCTGCTACTGAACTGCTGCAGGAGCTCAATAGTGATGTGTCCGGAAACTTTGTAGAAGAGGTCAGTGTTAATGTAAACATACCGTAGTTTTACTTTTAGTTTAAACTCGGGTTTCAACCTATATTTTAAGGTTTCAGGGTTTCCACCATTTGCCAAGATCATTGCTTACAATTCGAATGTAATTTAAAAGAAAAGAAAAAAAACATACATTACCATTCAAAAATATTTTTTTTAATTAATACTTTTATTTAGCAAGGATGCATTAAAATATTTAGGTGATATTAAAGACAGTACAACACTGATAACATAGTTTTCAACAATGGTAATAATAAGAAATATTTCTTGAGCACCATGTCGTCATGTGATGCTGAAAATACAGCTTTGCCTTCACAGGAATAAATTACATATTAAAGTATATGACTATAGAAATCAGTTATATAAAATTATAATAATATTTCACAGTATACTGATTTTAATATGTTTTTGATCAAATAAATGCAGCCTTGGTGGTCATAAGAAATCTCTCTCAAAAACATTAAAACATCTTCCTGAAACGTTTGAACGGTTGTGTGCATAGGGTGCAATATTTATTAACGTAACTAATTGCAATCATTTAATCATAAGCCTCTATATCTAAAGGAATATAAATTCTAAAGGGACATAAATTCAGTCAAATGTGTTCAGACCTTTGTGAGGTAGTGTATCTTTTCATCTTTTTATCTAAGTTTATCTATTTTTTTGATATTCAGAGTCCTGATAAGCTTTTGGACAACGACCCTGAGTTTTTTCACAGATTTAGTCTGGTCATTGGCGTCCAGCTTCCAGAAAGGTAATACTACTATAACACAAATCTGAATATATTGTTGCTTTATTTTTTCATGAGTTACTTTTAAATGCATTACGAAACTGACATGTTAAATAAAAAAAACCCTATGCTACTATTTGATTGGTTGTATGTGCTGATTCTTCAGATCAATATATGCCTTTGTATCTTTATTTTGACAGCACATGTTTGAGGCTGGGCAGTGTGTTATGGGATGCTGGTGTGACGTTCCTTGTATGTCGAACATATGGACTTATCGGTTACATGAGACTGATTGTGAAGGAGCACACAGGTAATATAATCATAATTTCCTGAAGCAAAATATTTTTCGAGAGATTCGTTTATTAGAACTTGGACAGGATGGTTGAAATGTAGTGCAATAACGTTGCTAAAATTTCATTTTGGATATCCTTAAAGGGGTCATCGGATGCCCATTTTCCACAAGTTGATATGACTCTTGAGGGTCTTAATGAAAAGTCTGTAACATACTTTGGTTAAAATATCTCAATGGTAGTGTAAAAAATAGGGTTGGGTACCGAAACCCGGTACAAATATGGCACCGGTACCTATTAGTGTTGTCAAAAGACCCGGTACTTCGGTACCAAGTCGGTACTAAAAAAACGAAAACGTTACGGTACCAGGTTTTTTTAAGTACCGGTGGTACCGAGTCCCCGGTCAACCCGGTTCTTGCCGCGCTATCCGAAAGGTGCGCAGATGCGCTCTCTTCATAAAAGCACTGAGACGTGGCGACATCAAAACGAAGAAACACA